ACGAACATTAAGGCATTGTTTCGTACAGTCTGAATCCTGTCCTTTCTTTATATTCTTCCTACAGGAAAACAAATGTTACATTTTATACTTTTTATAGTTTTTTAGTGCATTCTGTCGTCTAAGATATTTTCAAAGCTTGAGAAGTTTTAAAACAATCCTAGATATAATCTTTATGTATTACAATTTAGGGATTGGAAAACTTGATTTATATCTACATTAAAGTAATACTATTGTTCTTCTAAATCTATTGAAATCTTTATTTATCATCGAACACAGCATAATTCAAGACAATATTGTTTGAAGATATCATCCTGAGCAGACGGCAAACATTGGATAAGTTTGATTTCAGAAGCATCCGAAAATGTGTCCGTACAGCGGTGCTCATCGAACATAAGCAAAAAATGGTACCAAGCGAAACGAGGTTTTTGCCCCCATAAAAAAAGACCAGTGGTTGGAACTTTGTACCTATGTCAAAGGTTATTATTGCTGCTAACCCTTATGAAAAAGCAAAATTTGAAAGTCAACATAAATATCTCAAGTGGTATCAAACAGAATTAAAGTAAAATTAATTAAATGAAGAACATAAGTTTTTATAACTACAGTAAGGCTAAAGTTTAGGTTTACATGAGAAACGCACGCTCTAAAAAAAAACGTACATTATCCGCCAAACGAACGAACGTTGAAGGCGCATTTCAGCAAATGAAAGACACAGACGCAAAAAAAAAACGATATCATCTAACCGGCACTCCCTTGAAACGTAAGTACACACATAAAGTGAAAACATTTCAAAGCACGAAACAACTATTGTATAAAGTTTAGGCTGCGATATTTTACCGATTTCATTACATGATAGCTATATAAGGCTATAATGCTGTAATGTCCAACCTTATAGTTTTACGGGTACATCGTCATGCGCTGTATTAAATATTAAATTTAAAGTTCATGTTTTTATTTGCAAAGAAATTGTATAAATATAATATATGAACGGTATCATCAAAGAGAGGAAGTTGTTGTTTTATGGGATTTGCAAACAATCAACTACAAAAGCCACATAATATTATTTGAGCAAAGAAGAATAAAATTTGTCACTGACGACATTCCATAACGAGGAATATGCTTCAAAGACAAATGTGACCCATAAGATATCATGTACACCTACAGATGGATATTAATTATTAAATAAACCATCTTCGATCGACTAATTGTTTCCGTTATACTTTTGTGATTGATTGTGCCAAACTGTTCACAGAAATTAAGAAACATCTAAACAAATGTATAATAGGGACTAAACATATATCTATAATTCCCGTGAGAATTCCGGCAAATTTTATACGAATGTTTAAAATAAATACGACGTACTTTACTACAACAAGTTAACAGTATTATTCTAGAGCATGATATTTTGTTTACTAAGATATACATTACCAATAAAGGTTACTCATACATTGATATATTTGCGTCAACAGTAAAGCACAAGCCTAGGAAAACACATTTTTCCTGTGAAATATTATGGCAGTGACTTTAGTTGAGAGCTGTAATGCTTTATTATATGCCTTTTGATACAACAGATTCCACATAAAGTGTACCAGATTAGTTTAGATATCGCTTAAGCTGGTGCTTGGAGCGAGAATTTATTTGCATTTATCCATTTTACCTTATGAACAGACTCAATCAAACCGAGTCTGCAAATAAGGTAACGGTATCTTCCCTCTTTCCAAATATTTTTGTCACACGGGTTGTTTTATCGTGTGGTGCAGACTAATGCTACACAGAACATTGAATCTAGTAAATAGTTATCAAATACGCTAACGTCAATTATCTGCTATATAAAGTTTAAACCTGCTAAAACACACACACACACAAAAACAATATATTTTATTGCAACGTTTGAATTGATAAGATGAACTCTGTGGTGCTCTCTATTTATGTCATACAACTTGGCCTTAATGCTTCTTAATACAATGTTTGTCATGTCTTGTTATTCTTTTATAGAAAACAAATAATCAGATTTCACCTTGTCAAAATTGTTGTTTATAATCTATATTCGAGAAACGTGTATTAATACACATTGTTTGTACACAATGTCAATTTCTTCTATTGTCTAACGGAGCGTATCGACATATAGTTTTTTTGATAAAAGTAGTGTCAAAAACAAATTATGAACAATAAGTCTTCGTAGTTAAAGCTCTTGAAAGTATATTTGGAACAAGGACATTACAAAATGATAAGTATAATGATTATGTGAGATAAAATACAAAAGTGATACTGTTCATCCAATTTGGACAAAACACCACACATTTGAAAAATAATTAAATGTGCTAAAGCAAGTGAATAGAATTAGAGTACAGAAAAGTTCTCTATATCAGATTCTTTAGATTAATTCAATCATATTTTACTACAACCCTTGTCGTTAATTGATTTCGTATGGTCTCGTTTTTCTTGTTGTACTATTGGCACTGAAAACAACGCACATACACTAAATAGTATAGTGTTCTATACTGTGAACACTTACATGATTTAGGAAATATGAACAGTTCTAATTTGTCCTTTTTCCGCTATATAATTGACAAAAATATAATTTCGGCTCAAATAACTCGTAAATAATCGTAATGGATCAGACAACAATCACTTACTGGCTAAAATGAGCTCTTACTAGGATATATAGTTCAGATTGAGCCAATATTCGTGAAACCCCGTTATGACAAAACAAGTATATTTGATTGAAAACTTCGGCATTTATGTAACCATAAGGAAAAACCCGTTATTGCAGTTCATGTTTACATCTTACTAAAGGCAATCAATACACGTGCATAGATACGTGCTTCTATTTAATTTAACTATCCGGGAAAAATTAAAGTATATAATATTTAATTATCTATACCAGTCGATTAGCTAGAGTTAATCAAAGTAATCAGTAGATATGAACTGAATAGATTACATTGATTATGTTTTTTTTCTGTATCTATGCAACGAATTTTCAGTTCTAGTAGGCAAATGTTAAGTAAACGAAAGCTGCTGTTTTGTTAAATATCACTGAAAAATATAAATATTTATCTCGACTTAAAGAATAAGAGAAAATGAAATTGAAAAAAGTGTCCCTAGAGAACTCTAGTTTAACGTAAGTTTATGGAATTACCATTGTTACTCGAAATATAGCGCTGGGGTTAATTTGTTTTGTTCTATGTGTTAATAAAATTGTGTCACAGAATAAGAGCATACAAATGACTGTACATTACCAGGGACTGTGGTAAAAAAATAGTTAATGTTTAATCTTATGTCTTTTGCTTTTAAATTATCAACACAAATGTGATATTAATATGGTTATTTTCACTTATGTTTTATTTAAAAAAAAAACTTTAACATTTATGAAAATTCTCTAAGGAACAAATGGAGAACTGTAAACATAATAAAGTGACGCCAGAATATTTTATTGGGAAGGACAATATTCACATCGTTGCATTAACGACTTTATCAGAGATTTTATGATAGAGAACAGTTGTCATGAACATGAGAAGATACGTATGAGGGAACAATATGTGTTATTACCCCTCACTTTTTTTCGTAATGTTAATTTCTCATAGGCCTCTGGGAGTTATTCTTCTTGTTTATGCAATTGTACCACGTGACTAAGAACTTTGTACTGTTACATAGGTAACAGTACTTTTAACAGTTTAAAATCTGGTTACGTGGTCTATTTCCTAAATAACATGAAATAAAATTGGCCGACATTTTTCTCTCGATTCATTCTTATTTTCGACGTTCACCACGATAGGACATCACTAGAGTAACGAAGACACATATACAATTTAGTTGTTTGCACACTGGAGTGCTTTTCGCGTATAAAATATCGTTCTGTTTAATAGGTAAAAAGTAAACATCCGTTTTCAACGGAAGTAATTGCAATGTGAATAATTATGTGTCAAACTGGAAAATGCAAACGATTAAAACTTAAGATTATTTAAGAATTTTAATCACTGAAACGTAACAGTTATGGTGTTAGACATAGGATATCGTCGTTATTTTGTCAACAACCATGCGATATTTTGGGTACAGAAGGATCAGATTTCACAGATCATTACCGTATAAATGTGTTAGTGTTTTGTTTTCTGAATAAAACACAGCTTATTGTATGTTTATGACTAGTAGATATCATCACTTACTTAAAGAATAAAGCAAAAGAAAACTTCTTAAGTAGGCCTACAGTACACTTAAAACTTAAAAGGTAAAGACAGTTAAGTTATTGTTACTCTTGGCTTATTTTTGTTACAGATTTAGTTGACATTTTCAGATCATCATAGTACATGTATTTTTGTTTGGGTTAATAAAATAAATAACACATAGGTTTGTGAGTAACAGTAAAAATATCATCCCTAGGGTAACCGTATTTTCCTCGGAATGATATTTTTACTGTTGTTTTTGTATGCGTTTATTCAAGGTCGCCGCCGGAAAGCCCATATGGGCGACCCTACACTCAAGTCAGGTCATCCTAGAGCGTCCCGCCGAGATTCTTCGTCGACTTCCTTTCCCCAGCTTTATTGGTGGAGGAAGACCCCAGGTGCCCCTCCGGGCATTATTTGAGGCACGAGCGGGCACCTGGGTAGAACCACCTACCTTCCGTAAGCCAGCTGGATGGCTACCTCACATGAAAGATTTCGACCCGAGTGAGGATCGAACCTACAGTGGTGAGGGACCTGTGATCTCAACTTGACAGTTACAAAATATTTATTTCATAATAAATGAAGAATATTGCTTTCTTTTCCGTTTTCGAAATGATAATTCTTTGTATCAATATTCTGAAGGAAACAACATTGCGCATAGGTTTTGTGTGTCAATAAAAGTAGGATTTGAGCTTCCTTAAAAATTCCTAAGATGCGTTTCTCCATTTCTTTAGCTTAATCTTTTTCACAGTTTTTTATTTTAAATTTTAAACCATTTAAAAATGCAACGACAGTTTTCAATCAATTTTAAAAGGATTGACGTTGTCATATTAATCAGGGCTCGACACTAACGATGGTCCGTTAGCCCGAGGCTACCTTTTTTCCATAAGGACTACCTAAGTTTCCAAGTTGGGTATCCCGTCGGGCTACTCGAAATTTTAGTGACCTGATACATTTAAATTCATTTAAAATAATAATAAAATAACAATTGTTATGATACAAATTGTACGAATTCAAAACGAAACCGGAAATTCATCTTTCTGGTAATTAAATGTCCGTTGGGTCGCTAATGATCGTAAACGTTAAGCGCTTGGAATTGCAAGCGTCGGCTACCTACGAGTGTAAACTTAAGCGAAAATATGTGGCGTTTCATTGAAAATGTTCAAGAGCCGGCCAAAAAAAAGGCCAAAACACGAGACCAACAGCTTGAGGCACAGCGTGAATATGACAAAACCAAAAGGGATCGTAATTTTCAACCGTCCTGGTCGAAAGAATTTCCATGGTTGACATTTGATAACGATAAAAAGTTGATGTTTTGCAAGGTTTGCCAAAAATTTGATACAACCGGCACATTTGTTAATGGCTGTAATAACTTTAGATTGCAAAGTGTCCGTATTCATGATAAGTCAGAGGGCCACTTACGTTGTGTAGGAATGGCAGATAACACTCCTAGCTCAGAAGGCCATAGAACTTTAAAATTGTTGAATTCTGCAGCACATGCAAAGTTAAGGCATTTATTCATGAACGCTCACTTTGTTGCTAAGTGTGGACGACCATACACAGATTACGTTCAGTTATGCAAGTTGGACATTGCAAAAGGGCTGGACATTGGCAGTACTTATCTAACAGACAAAAGCTGTCAGATGTTTATATCTTCAATTGCGGACACAATTCGAACTAGACAGGATGCAAAAATAAAAGCAAGTCCATTCATATCAGTAATCAGTGACGGGTCTACAGACACATCTTCACAAGAGGCTGAAATTGTGTATGTCCGTTCATCAGTCAGTGGCAATGTAAGAGTTTTAATATTCTGTTATATTTGATGATAAATAAATTTGTGTAAAACTGATTGGAATCAAGTTTATCAACTATCATTACCTGAAGTTATGGTACATGTTTGACCTTTTAAAACCGAATGACTTTTGTGTGTCACATTTTGATATGCTTCTCAATGTATTTTATAACAGTAATATATCTAAATAAAATCGTATAATATAATTATAGATATCTATTAACCAGTTGTAATTTTAATTATTTTAGGTGTACACACATTTCATGGGCATCAGAAATGTTGCCAAAGCTGATAGCACGAATATCAGCAATGCCATTATTAATGTCCTGAATGATCGTTATGGGGAGGATTGGAAAGAAAAAGTGATAGGAGTTGGCACAGATGGTGCATCTGTGATGCTTGGCAAGAAATCGGGGGTGGTTGTTAAGCTTAGGGAACATACCAACAGGCCATTTATATATGGCATTCACTGCTCAGCACATAGGTAATCATTAAATTAATTACTTAACAGCAAAGTTGTATGGAAAAATTATATATATATAAATTCAAAAATAAAAGAAATAATTGTCATTCATTGCTCTTTTGAAATGAAAAATAAAATTCATTTACCTTCATTTTTTTATATTGCTTTCATTTCAGTTTTCATCAAGTGACTTTTTTCATATTTGCATGTTATAATTGTTACATTTCTTTTATAATTTTACAGATTAGAGCTTGCCTACAAAGATGCAGTCAAGGCTGTAAATACTAAGTGGACTACACATCAAAAATGTGAAGCTTTACTTCTGAACCTTTACTTATTTTACAAGTATGTGTAACTAGCAAAGAATCATTAATTATTCAAATAAAAGGAATTATTTCAGCCAATATAATATATAATAGATATACATTATTCTTAACAACAAAACTGTGAATGTTAACAAAATTATTAACATCCATTGACATACATGACAAAATAAAATAATACTGAAATTTCAGCTGTTTGACAGTCCTGCACTGATTTTGCACATGTTGATTATATATTAACATAATGATCATCAGTTCTATTCATTTCAGACTCAGCCCTTTGAACAGATCCAACCTCAAGTCATCTTTTGAGAGTATTGGACTTAAAGTACTTTTGCCAACACGAGTTGGAGGTACACGCTGGCTTCCACATACAAAAATGGCTCTTAAGCATTTGATTCATGGACATGCTGCCATTGTTCAGCATCTTGAGCAGGTAAGAAATTAATTATTACTCATTTAACGTTTAAATGAAAAGAACATTTTACAGCAATAACTTAATTTGTAAATTTATATTGTGATATTTGATTGCGATTTGTTTTTGATTGATTGCTATTCACTTATTTAGATGCAGAACCCTACAGATCCCACCCAATAATACGCAATATTTTGAACAAGATGACCAAAACATTTTAGGACTTGTTAGATCGATTCTTGAAAAAGCTTAGTGATAATACTTTATTTAACTAATTTAAAAGTCTCTGAAGGTTTCTAGTTCATCAGACTTACCTGTTTTATCAAACGTTCAATTACTTACAAGGGTATTTCAACTATAAGGTATCTCTTTAAATCACTCTGCTTCTTTGCAGGCTTCAGGTATTTGATTAGTGTTTGGCTGACAATACGCTCGATGAAAAGGAGTTCTAAATAAAATACAATCCAGGTTGTCTGAACAGAACACTATCTGATCACAAATGTATCATATTTTAACTTGATTATTAACTTGATTTATTTTAACTTGATTATTACTACACATACAGAGCATAAGAGTTTTAGCTGTCAGTCAAAATTCAAAGACGAATAACAGCCAATCATGTATAGATTCAATTATATCTTATGTTACATGCTGTAACGTAAAATACATTCATACATTACAAATGCATAATAAAGTTCACAACTTAATTTAATAAAATCAAAATCGTCATGCAAATAATTATATTTTCGTGACATTCTTTTGGTACTTAATAATTATTCCCTAGCATGTAATTAGTTCAAGAATTGTTACGATAGTCTATCCAAATGTTAAAAAAGAAAATAGTCCTATCTTAATTATATTAACTTAAGTTGAAAAATGCATTTCAACGTTTGACAAGACATTTTTATGGTAAAACTCTGAAGATGTTAACCTTTGCAATATTTTTAGAAGTTAAAAACATATTTTTATTTAAAAGGTCTGTATATAAATTTTTAAATGACGTAAAGTTGTTTTTTTTTTTTGCGTTTCATAGGTTTTCCTTTATTTAAATGTCAGTGTGTTTCTGATATAGGTATAGTTCTTTGACTCTTTTCGGTGGTTATGTGTTACTGGTGGGTCGGGCAGGTTGGTATGTATGCTACATTCATTGTATGCAGCACTCCCTTATTGATCTTTTTCTTACTTTGATTTGTGCTCTTATTTTTTTAGATGAAATATTAAAATCTGTAAAAAAAATAGTGTAGGAGTATCGCAGACTATATTCGTAGCCATTTTCTATAAAACAAGTGACCCCTGGAACTGGACTAATTTTCAACCAAGGAACATAACTCATATCAGTTTTTAATGGCCATTTAGGCAACATGCTAAATGTGTAAGCTCTAAACATTGTAGATTCACAAAATAACTTCAACGTTTTTTCTGATATAAATCAAGTTATCCCTGAACAAGGTCAACGCGGAAGCCAAAACATGTAGTCTGCGCATTGTCCCATTATACAAAATATGTCTTATGAAGACTGAATATCACAGATAAGCTGTCAAAATACAAATTTGAAAGCAAGTCACACATCTCAAGGGTGATTAAACACTAGTAAACAGCATGCAAATGGGGAGTTGTTGAACCACGTAACTAGAAAGTAGCCGAATGGAAATAACTAAAAATACCTTAAACACAACTGATAAGATGGATGACATCCCTGATTGAATGTACCGGCCAAAGGAAAAAGACTCTCAAAATGTGATCACTTGCTTTTGTCGATTATCAAACTCTAGCCAGTTCGTGTGCATAGTAAAAGCGAACGTACTAAATTTTGGTATTTATTTCTTCTTCTCAATTGAAATATAATGAAGCATCAGTAGGAATTTTGCCAAATCATTAATCAAATATGAAACAATTCTAAGTTTTGAACATAATCCTTATACAACTGTGCCATTTAATGCACAGCTTTTTGCATTTACTGGTAATTCCTATTTGTTCTGGAATTTCATTAATTACATTCTTTTTCAGGTGACAATCTGTCAGTCTGTTACATGCCATTGCGTAGGTCTGTACAACAAGATTTTAAAATAAAGCATGCCCTGTCCTGTAAATATAGTATAATTAAAGTTAACGAATTAAAGAAATAGTAGCCTACATACTTTGAGATTTGCTTGTGCATCTAGCTTTTTATTAGTGGTTCACTTCTAAACCGTCTGTTTAGGCCTTAAACCACCAATCAGATCAATATTCGCAATGACCAACAAAACCAAAGATTCAAATTAGTTTGCAAGTTTATTTTGATAGAAAGAGGATGCGAAAGGCAACCAGCGTGATATGAGTCTTATATTGTTACATACTGACCCATGGCAGGATTTGTTATTACGTGGAAACCATATACAGGGTTATCAATACCAACCCTACCCTTTACGTATAAAGAGCATTTTATTAAGTGAAATTGTGATAGAATTTAAACCTGGTGTGATAATGTTTCTCCTGGTTTTGGTGGATTTCAGGTTAACTACGGTTTTAAATCCTTAGATTACCCTTCTTGTATAATTCCAGGCACGACAAAGGTACCTGGGAGGAACAACCAGCCTTCCTAAAGCTTGTTGGATAGCTAATGTGACTTGTACTCATTATGGTAAATGGAAAGTAAAATGTTGAGGGTCACCTTTACCATTCTACCACGGAAGCCCTTTTATAGTGAGAGGATGAATAAATTATTTACAATATCATTTGTTTGTTATGATTATGTCAGTTTACCGTTTTATTCCGTTCGATATAAAATCAATATATTAAGCGTATGTGGTGAAGTAACATTTTAATTTTTTTACTCCAAATTCAATGCCAATTTACTTATAATAAATTATTGTAAACAAAATCAACAAGGACAGGCGGCGCTCAATGATCATAAACCTAAACACGACCCAGCAACAAATACAAACGGCCAGTAGCCTAGAAGGACTCCTAGCAAAAACTGGACAGGGTGCACAAGGCAGAGCACGGACATGATCAGAAATCGTTATTATTTCTGTGTGTACAATTTAGATCTTAGATCATATCATTTCAGATCTTTGAGTGTCATAAACCTTACAAAATGTATTTTGTGACGTATTCATGAACTCTTAGTTGTTTTGCAATGATGAAGATACCACAGTAATTCGCGATTACAAAATCTGATAAATCAGAATTACATGATATGCTATGATATTGGATCCGGTCAATTACATAGCTGTATATTGTCTCCTAATATTTCCCAATAAAATCGTAATGATAATGCATTCATTTACTTCATCAATAGACATTTGTAAATTTGTGTACAATTAACAAAAAAAAAGAGTGATGAAAAATGAAAACTCGAAATACAAATATTAATTATTGATAATTTTCAACATTAAATTAGTTTTTTCTCCATTATATACATATAGGTTGAGGTCCATTTGAAAAAAAAACAACAGAAATTTCGATTTTATAAAATGTCATCTCATGTTAAGTGACTAAAACATGCATGTTATTGGTGACTTTAGTATGACCAAATGAGCCTTATCCTGAAAAGATAGAACCATAACATTTTTTATTATATGATGTAAAATTAGCTGCAATCTCATTGGTCCAAACTGAAGTCAACATAACTTTTTATAAAATCATGTTCACTGGGTGTAGTATCATATTAACTGGCTGAATTGGATTTTCCAAATCTAAATATAGATTGAGATTCATATTCAATGACCATACACCGTAGACTGTTAATTACGTGTGTAAATTAAAAAAATAATTGTCGCGTTTTGTCCATTATAGCGTATTTCTAGATTGAAATATCATTACTTTACTGTTATACCTAAAGGCTAAACCGCATCGATGAGTATAAACTTGAATTACTTTTGTATGCGCAGCGTTTGCGTAGTGTTGCACGCCTAACACGTGCGTCTTTTTTTCCCGCGCTTCAACGAGGCAAAATTTTTACATGTATATAAGGCTGTACTTTTTCGTGATTTTTTTGTATTCTTAGCCTATTCATATAATGAAACAATTATTGACTAGTGAGCCATTGAATATGATGTGATATTCACCGGCAGAAAGTCATATTGATCTCGGCTATCGCCTCGGTCAATATGTCATGTGCCGGTGAATATCACATCATATCCAATGGTTCACAAGTCAATAATTGTATAATATTACAGTTTATTTCGAATTTCAACTGTGTCACATTCATTGTTGAAATTGCTCTGTTGCCATCTCTAGACGACAAATTTAGGATTTACTGGCTTGTTACCAGACGTTACTTGGTTCTTATTTCATAATGTATAGATGTAAACAGCAAATGGCGTAAGACACAAGATACTCGGTAGAATTAACGGTACCTTTTATGAAACAATATGTTCAATTAAGTTTTATATGTAATGCTTTTTCTGTCTGGATTAACGGTAATAAAGCATTGTTTCATACGGTTTGTTATTTCCATTCTTTTTGCGGGAAAATACATTTTATACTGCAATTTCAATTTGTATATCAATCTGTCTCCAAAGATACTTAGATTTTGAAACAACCATACAAATAATCTTTTTGATTACAATATAGGGACTGGAAACTTTGTTTTATATCTACTTTTAAGTGATACGATTGTTCTTCGAAATCTAATGGAATCTTTATCAATTATCGAACATAGCAAAAGTCAGGAGAAGTACAACCAAAAAAAAAAAATACACCATGATTTGGATAAGTTTGATTTCAACAGCAGCACCAAAACATCGGTCCATACTGCCGTCCTCATCGAACAAAAGCAGAGTATGGTATCAATCGAAACGAGGTTCGGTTTACACGAAAAGCGTGCACTGAAAAAACGTACGCATATTTTACGCCAAACGAACGGACGTTGAAGGATATATATAACAGACACCCGCAAAATAAACAAAACTCTCTTTGAACATGATAATGCTCGCCAAATGAAAACATTTCAAATGTTCAAGTCAGACTTGAGTTTTTTTTCTAACCTTGTGACTGCATGTAGCTCATAAATTAATTCACATTGATCTGTAATCCTGTTAAATATAGTTGGTAGAGCTGCAAAACGGTATTCCCGAGGGTCGATAGTTCGATGCTTGATCAGACCCTGGCATATCAATATTATTTTGTTCAATAAAAATAGAATGAATAGGGCTTTCTGCACATATGCAAAATACAATTGGTACGCATATAAATACAGACTGTTTGAATAAGAAAATCTTGCAATTTAAGAGTAATTCAGTTCTTAGCTTTTGTAAACTGCGTCGAAATACTTTTACAACATAATGTTACAAATTTTAACACTATGTTGAAATCACAGGAATAAACGACCTAAATTTTTGTACGAGACACTTAACATATTTTACATCTTAAAAGCCGGTGAAATGTACAAAATGAATCTATTAAATTTCGTTTTCATTTGTCACTAGTTACAGATGCAAAAAACGATTATTTAACGTTTTAACGGACGCTGGCGCACGCTTAATATGTATTTTTAAGGATAGCAAAAGAACGCTAACAAACGCATAATAAACGAATTTTCGATACACATGGTGCGCTTGTAAACAATGCACGCTTGGGAAACGCTTTTATCAAAGGTAAGTTTTACGATGCATGCACGCACGAACGAAACACGCTATTTTAGACAACCGAAAGGTTTAACCTACATGTAGTGTATTGAGTCATGCTGAACGATCTTCAAGTATAGAAAATAAAAAAAATCTGGTTATGAAACAATTTTTTTATATTTTTCACTAACACTTGTAGTAGCATATCAAATTTAAAGTTTATGTTTTTAGAAGAATGTTATTGTAATGTAATATATGAGAAGTATGGTAAAAGAGAAGAATCTATTGTTTTATCATTTTGGTATCAACAGACGATAACCTGAAGCCATATAATATTATTTGTGCAAAGAAGAAGTGTTTTGTCTTTTACGCCATTCCATAACGAGAAATAAGCTTCAAAGATAAAAATGCGACCAATGAAATATCAGGAACACTTACAAATTGATATTTATTATGATATACACCTTTTAATTTTCTACAGACTTATTGCTTCCTTTGTACTTTTTGTCATTGATTGTGTCAAACTATTCACAGAACTTAATAAAATATCTAAATGAATGTACAATAGGGACTCGACATATATCTATAATGTCTGTGACAATTAGATAATTTCTATCGAATGTTTAAAATAAAAACGCATGTACTTTTCTGTAGCAAGTTGACCTTATTTCTCTAGAGCATTATACATGTACATTGTTAACTTTAATATACATTGCCAATATTGGTTATTTCGGCTTTGATGTATGTACGTTAACAGTAATAAACAAGTCAAAGAAAACATATTTTTCCTATGAAATATTAATATGTCAGTGTTTCGTATTCACTCACAACTTGGTATATTTCTATGGTTGCTTTCACGTACCACACTTTAGTTGAGAGTTGTTATACTATTATATGCCTTTTGATATTATATACTTCACATATAGTGTTAAAGATTAGTTTAGATATCGCTTTAGCTAGTGCTCAATTAAATCGAACCTGACAATGAGCTATCTTCTCCGTTTCCAAATATTTTTGTCCCATAATGTTTTATTATCTCGTGCAGATTATTGTTACAAAGGACATTGGTTCTAGTAAACACTTATCAAACATGCACACATCCCGTATATATTATATAAAGTTGAAACGTGTTTTTTATTATAATAGCAACCTTTGAAACGAATAAGTTAAAAACCGACCTACTTGGCCTCTTTACAAGTGGGCCTACTTGACCTAAATTTTTCTTAACAATTTCTTTGATATCATGTCTTGTGATTTCTTTACTCATCAAAATTAACTTATTCCTCATCTACGTTTATTTTCTCTATTTGAGAAATGTTTATTGATACACACTGTTTGTACACAATGTCAATTTCTACTATTGTATTCAATATTTATCTGACGAAGTGTATTGTCATATTTTATGATAAAAGCAGAGTCATATATAAATTATGTAAACTAAGTCTTCGTTGTAAAAGCTCTTGTATATTTGGATCAAGGACATTGAAAATGATAAGTTTATATAAAAGTATATGTAATAAATTACAAAAGTGATACTGTCATTCCAATTTGGCCAAAACACAACGCATTTGAAATATAATGAAATGTGCTGAAGCAAGTGAAAAGAATAAGAATACAGATAAGTTATCTTTATCTTTAGATTATTTCAACCGTATTTTACAACAAACATTCTCGTTAATGGATTCCGTATGGTATCGTTTACCTTCTTGTACTATTTGCACTAAAAACAACGCGCAAACACTAAATATTCTAGTATTTGTAATTGTGAACATTTCGGAAATATGATCATTGCCATTTTTTTTCTTCCGCTATATAATTGACAAATTATTATCTGGGCTCGGATATCTCGTAAATCACGGTAATGGATGAGATAACCGTCAGTTACTGGCTAAATTAAGCTCTAACTTGAACATATAGGTCCGATTGACCCAACATATGACTGTGGAAACCCGTTATGACAAAAGCATGAACATTTGATTGAAAATGTAGACAAGCATGTGACCCTAAGGTTAAATCCGTTAATATAGTACATGTTTATATCTTACTAAAGACAATCAATACACTTGAATAG